GATCAATAGAAGTATCGTGTTCGTTGTTAAAGAAGTTGGTAGCCAGAAACGCTACATGTTAAAGTGTGATTATATCACATTAGAACATGAAGGAAGGCATAGTCTATTTTAGAATTTAACTCTAAGAGACCTAAGTTTAAACGTGCATCACATGATGATAGGTCATAATTTGAAGTCTAGCCTGAGGTAGAGAGCAGGTGCACGATCGAGTACTGCTTACAGTCAATGAGTCTAAGAGATAGACTTGCAGGAATATAGAAGTTATAATTATTACCTAGGATGAAGAGATGACGTATGGAGTCATTATACGAGCCCTGTTTCGTTGATGATTCCGGGACGTAATCATCCTAAGGGGGAGATAATTGTAAAGCCCGCAGATCTGGGCTAGTCAATTTAGAGGCAATAGGGGTCAAAAACGACTTTTCTACTAAAAGATTATTTAGAATAAATAATCTTAACCAAGTTGTAGAATATGTCACAAGGTTTCCATACATATAAAGAACGCCGAAATCCGAGTTATAACGAAGAAGTTATGACCCGTCGAAGTTTCGCGTCGAAACCGGCACGGCGCCGGGAAGCGTAAATAGTAAATTTATGATAGAGAGAGATTTAGCCTTAGCGCTCTAAACGAAAGTCGTAGAATATGTTAAACTAAGAACATCGATAAAAAGAACGCCCAAATCTGACTTCGTATGCAGAAGTTATGATTTTTCGAAGTTTCGGATTAGCGGTGTACAGCCCGAAATTCGAATTTTAGATCGATTGATTTTTAGCCGACACAACCTAAACAAGAATCGAAGATCTCGTTATTAGTAGCATAACGATAAAAAGACAGACGAAAATGGACATCGGATAAAGAAGTTATGAGATTTTAACGGACCAATCCTGTCCCGGCCTGTTAAAAATATAACTTTAAAAATAAAGTCAAAATTAGCCGACGGAGTCTAAACGAAAGTTGTAGAGTACGTCTCCACCTACGCGTGGATATAAAGAACGTCAAAAACGGAGTTCGTATGAACGAGTTACAAATTATAATAGCATATTTACGTATTAAAATAAAGTATAAATCATGTATACGTACACATATATATACATATGTATATATCATTAGAAAGGTATCGACGATGCGGTCATTATAAGACTAATGTTGAGTTCTTTCGACATTAGTTTAGTACAAATATCATTAAATCCATTTAAAATAGTATTATAGAGGGGTGTTTAGTTGTTTATATAACTAAAAGGTCATTAAGTAATTATGGAGGGTAGTTTTTGAAAATTCAATTAGTATAAATAAGAGCCTTGGGCTCTCATATTTCTTGCACCATTCTCTTGATTCAAGAGTCTTTCTCTCCTTATCCCCCGAGCATTTCGGTCCCTCGTGATTCGACTTCTCTTTCTGTAGTTTTAGTATAGTAAGGTGAGCGCTGAAGCGCTGCACGAATCTTTCTTAGAAAGATTCAGCGACGAAGTTCTGCCCCTGCAGAGCCCGACTCCTAGCTAAAATCCCCTTGAAAGTAAGTTATGCTTACCCTATTTTAAATATAGTTTATATTTAAAATTAGTATTGTTATTATAAATTTATAATAAATATTTGAGCTATTATTATGACTTATATAAGTGTCGTTATAATATCTTTTAACTACTCGCGGTACGGGGAATCTGGTTTAAAGGGCCGCATAGGGTTGTTGGATTTCAGAAGTGCTATACGCCAAAATGGTCCTGCCCTCCGGTGTTTTATGTCTGGCCCCTGTCTGTACATAGTAGTTGGAAAGTATTGTTTAAACGCTTATATAATAATAATAATAATAATAATAAGACTAATAATTAGTGACGGTAATATTAGACTAAAATCTAGTGGTGATAATATTAGGTTTCGTCAAAGGAAATTATTTTAAAGTAAACGAAGCGCTGTCCGAGTACCGAGTCACCACCTTCTCAGGTGAGTGCATAGTCCCTTTCATCTTACACATAGATATGAAGTATTTTATATAAACTACGTGCTATGTGTGCATATTATCTGAATACTTGCTGTCTATGCTGGATGAACGTTTTATACATGTTTTAAAGAATTTAAGTTGTATACGTATTTTATATATACGAATATGTTGGGTATGATATGGGTAGATGAATGATGAGAGATAGAAGATGATACATTGGCAGTTATACACTTAGTGCCTATGGGACAAACACCGGTAGCTATGGACTTAGTACCTGTTAAACGTTGGTAGCTATGGATTTAGTACCTGTTGGGAATTGGTAGCTATGGACTTAGTACCTGTTGAACATTGGTAGCTATGGACTTAGTACCTATTAGATAAAGACTGGTAGCTATGGATTTAGTACCTGATGAATAGACCATAGCAGCTATGGAATTAGTGTTTTATGAATGAACATTGGCAGCTATGGATTTAGTGTCAGTCCTATAACCCTGGAGGTAAGGGACTTCGGAATAAACGAATGCAGGATAGATGACACTTAGGTTAAATCCTTAAAGAGTAAAGAAGATAATGGGGATGGGTAATTGGGTTGATTGTTTGATTGAACATAGTAATTATATTATTGTGGGTTGAAAACCCTATGTACTCACCAGGTTTCCCAACCTGACCCACTCAATTTATGTATATCACAGGTGACGAAGTGAAGTGACATTACACTGAGAGATTTAAAAGAGATGTAGATCACTAGTGTAAATCATTGTAAGTTCTGTTTATGCTTATGTTTCGGTATTAACGATGACATCCCAAACATTTTAAAATGAAATAAATACGTTTCTTCGAAAATGTTTTAATAACGTATTTACCATGTTTTTCTGGGAACAAATTCCGCAACCTTTTTATAAAATGAAGTACTCTGATTTTTATAAAGCATAAACAAAATCGGTCTTTTCTGGCCGTGATTTTGGGGATGTCACATGGATTATTGGATTCGGGTTGGAACCCAATTGTTAATTGGGTGTTAATTGTTTGATAACGCGGGGTTTCTAGTGAATCAGTAGTTAGAGATCTATTCATGGGTTCAGCTGTCGAGGTGAATTTTCTCATTGTACTAATGGGTCAAAGGCACCAATGTTGGCCCATTAGATTATGTTAATTGTCTTTGTGATTTTTGCATGTGTCTTTGGGTTTGGGTTGAAATATACCCCAGGGTGGGGGGCACTATGTTATAATCGGGTTGAAATATACCCTAGGGCGAGGCCCCAAGGCGGGGGTCCATACTTGCTTTTTGGGTTGGAATGAACCCCAAGGTTGGGCCCATTTGTATGTTTGGTATGTGGTATTTTAGGAAATTCATTAAGTTTTATGCTTACGTTTTTCGATTTATGTTTCATGTATTGCGGTTTTCAAATGGGAGAGATCAGGATAATTGCAGAGCACACACTACAAGTTTCCACATTCTGTGAATTACTCTGATTTGATGATGTTTTGTTAAATCTTGGATTCCTTGGTTTTATGGGAAAGATGTGTATTAATGATTTATTAATCTAAAAACAAAATTTTTATGTCATGATTTTCAGGACATTACATTGTTTGTATAAATTGTCTATTTATTTACAGTAAGAAAATCAATCGTGAAATAATTTGAGGATTTTTACAATCTTATTTGTCCAGTAAAACTCTCCAATAAGCAATAATGGCAAATTGTATAACACTATAAGTATCTTTATAAACTACTTGGAAAAACTTTACATTATGTTAGTTCTCACAGTAGATTTGTTCGACTTTCAAAAGCTTATGTAACCCAATAAACTCTTAAAACTTATATTGCGGATGTTCTAAGTTTTTTCTTTGGAACAAACACCAAATTAATAAACGCACAAACCTCAAAGTATCTTCATTATGATAATAATTTTTCAGAAATCTTATTTGTAAGTTATATCAAAATAAAAAAAATTATATAAAAAATAAAACTTGTTACATGGGGTTATAACTATATACAAATCCATAGGAAATCAATTGTACAAAAGAACTAGAACATGTTTTCAAATAAAATTTAGTATTCTTTGTGTGATTCCTTCACTTGCATTTCCATATGCCCTATAATCAAAGTTCACTTCCATTATCAATTAAGATAATATTTATTTAGTTACTTTCCTCACTCCTTCACCTTTAACTATGAGATTTAGTTCTTCTTCTTCCTCTTCACTTAAAAGTTAAATCCAAAGAAATACCTTGTTCTTGTATGATGTGTACCTCTATTCCATTTTAGTGTTCTTGTATGATGTGTACCTCTATTCCACTTAAAAGTGAAAGAAGGATTTAAGGAGGATGGGAAGGAAGAAGCCTTTAACATGGATTATATTCCTATTAGTGCGTGGTTGTTCCTTGGGGGAGGAAGTCTCGTTGTTGACGTATCTCTTTAGCATTATATTAGAGATTTCAATGATGTCCAAGGAATAGAAACCTAATATTATCATACTCGTATATAAGAATACGGGAGATGCTAAAGATGTAGCAACTATATATGTAATAAGATTCTTAGTCATACGATGAAACTTTTGGAGAGAGTGTTAAAGTCCAAGTTGCAACGTATCACATTTGAGTCCGAAATAGGCTTCATGACAAGAAGATCGACTATTGAAACAACTCACATACTCAAACATCTCATGGAGAAATATAGAGATATTTAAATCGATTGTCGAGGTGAATGTTTTTGTCGATGACATTATCCCCGTATGTAAGACTAGGTTTGAGAGATTCAAATGGGTTGTTGAGATGCATGTTTTAGTTAATACGAGAAACAAGTATAGAGAGCAAGACTTGCATACAATTAAGAAATTCAAGTACTAAGCCCTTGTTCATATATCTATTAAGAGTGTATCGTTTATACAAATCTTTACTTATGTTCCAATTATTTTGCGTCCACTTACTGTTTTTAGTCGTCTTTAACATTGTTTGTATCGGCCTTTATTTTTGTATTCTCACCTTCAATCCCATTAATATATAGTTGGGTCATTTCATTTGAGAATTAAAATATTGAGCAATATATATTAAAAAATCATTACCTTATTTAAAATTATCATGAAACCATATACTTTGCAAAATGGTTTTTGTGTACTTCACTACAATAGTGTGAAACCAATATGGACCACAATCAAGTAAACCCAAATCCGAATCCATAATCTAATAGTAAGTTAACGTTTTGTATACAACATACTCTAATTTCCAAAATCAGGAGGCAACATACCTGGTGGCCAAATGTTGGCATCGGTTTGATAAGTAAATGTAGGAGGAGGCATAGTTGGGTACATAGGGTGACCAACACCATAGTTAGCAAAATCATGGTAGGTTGAAAAAGCATGATTCTGAAACCCACTGACTGATTCATATGGAAGACTGGTGGTTGTATCTGTATAAAGTTGTGGGGAAACCAACGGGCTTCCAAGGTCCATGTCAGAGAGGTCGTCATAATGAGTTCCGGTTCCAGTAGCATCGGAAGCTTCCGGAACATCGTCCAAGATGTTGGAGATGTCTGGATAGTTTGTCGTGATGATATTCGAGAAGTCATTGTAACAGTCTTGGGTTTCTTCCATTAGGTAATTGGAGAGTTGTTTTTTGTGGTTTAAGTTGGATTGGGTTTGGTTGATGTGGTTTTGTTTTTCGGCTATTGATTTGTGTTTGGGAGTCCATTCGGGTCGACTCCAGAGAGAGAGTGGGGGTGACACCACGTTCCAGTCATCTAATGGCTGCTCTTGAACACTTACTGATCCCGGTAGGTAAAACGACTGTTTAAAAAAAAAAAAAAAAAAAAAGGTAAACTAGAAGATTTGCATTTGCCATTAATCTAACTAGAGTTAATAATATAACCTTGCCAGAAAGCATATGCTCTTCCTCCCAGATTAAATCATACGGATACCATTTTTGGTCAAGCCTGTTTATAGTGTTTATAGCAATACAAATTAGAGTCCAAATTTAATAGAAATTAAGTAACAGATTTACATTTTATGGTTTACCTTTTGGTTTCTTTTGGAACAATAAGGATTAAAAGCTTTGGTTTGAACTTGAGAGCATGGTTGATAAATTTGTTAGCAAGAGAAGCTTGGACTCCAAACGGAGGATTTAATCCCATTACCTTTTCATATATTATTATTATTAACTATTTAGAATCAAAGTTTTAAACTAATTTTTTTTAAGATAAAATATAGAAAAACATACCAAACGAGACCCATCAGGTAGATCTTCAACAGGGACACTAAACCAATCTCTCTTTTCAAAACTGAATGTGTTCTGATTAAAATATTAAAATATTAAAATATCAAGATTAGCTTATTATTTACTACAAGAAATAGGAAATAAGAAAAGTTAAAATACTACCTTTGGTGTGATGAGGTCATAATTCTTGTCTGAGTTTTTCTTTCATGAAGCAACTGAAATCATTCGAACCACAGCAAAAGTCCACTACCTGATAACAAAATTTACAAATCCAATTGTTACAATTTACTAAAATAATTATGAGATAAAAAAGTCAAAAAAGAAGAAAGGAAAAAGTCACTTACTGTATCACCATCGTCTACATACCAATGGAGTCTCTCAACTATCTGCATATTAAAATATATATATATATATATATATATATATATATATATATATATATATATATATATATAAAACTAACTCCAGGGGGGTAATTTGTAAATAAATAGTCAAGGGACAAGAAGAGATAGTTAGTATTAGTACCTCCTTAAGTTTATCAACTTTAGTAAAATGGCGTCCAAAAGAGGTGTAGCGTGCTCCAATGAGAAAAGGAGCAAGAAAAATATGCAACTTTTCCTGCATATATATATTGAGTGGAAATATTAATATTAAAGTATAAAATCACAAAGGATGCAATATGTAAATTATAAAACATAAAGGTAATATTTCAATTTTCAACATACCTTCCATTTTGTGAGCTGATTTAAAACATTTGGTTCACAAACAGCTTTTGCATCCTCAACACTACCCCCATCCTCCAATTTCTTCAAGGCTGTTCTCACTGCCTAAAAAATTTTAAAAAAATTAAAATTAAAATTGTGAGATTAAAGTTTAAACATATTTAAGAGCATCCACAATAGCACCTTAACAGAAGCCTCCACTTTTCCCATGGTAATTGTCTTATCTAACCCTGTTTGTGGGGTGTATATTTGATGAGTGCATCTCTTTCTCTTCTCCTTTAAAAATTCTTCAACATCAAATGAAGATGTTGAGTCTTTGATTATTTTCAAAATCCTGTAGTGTACACCAAAGTGTTATGATATCATAATAATGAAAATTCAACATGAATAAGAATTAAGAAATATATACCTTGTTTTCATATCATTATCTACTACAGGAGGTCTATCCAGTATTATCTTCTTCACTATCTTCTTCACTGGCTTAGAAGCAAAGACTTGTTCTCTTTGTATATCTTTTTGTGTTGACTTGTTTTGACCAATGGTGGAATGATGCTCTGAATTTCTAGAAATCAAGGAAGACTTCCCTTTCTCTAATATTTTATTCTTATCACCATAAGTGATGGTGTTGTTTTTATCCCACTTCTCAACAACTTTTGGCATGTTTGAAGTGTCAGTGTCAATGTCAGTGTCAGTGTTTGAGAGGTTTCCAAAAGCTTTACTCTTTACAGATGTCATCAACACTTTACTTCCTTCTTGATTTCTTTTTCTTGTGACACGAGGAAATAAAAGATGATCCCTTTTTGGTGTCAAAAGATTTGGAATAATAGCATGCTTCCTGGATATATAATAATAGATGAATCATAACATATGTTTTTATAATAAATTATGCAATATTTTGATTTATTAAGTATGAATATGAACACTTACGTGCAATACATCAAGATGCGTTTTGGCAACAAATCATCCCATGCCCTTTGTTTAATTGTTCCATCAACACTAGCCTTGAAACCAATTGCCCTTAAAAATATTATCAAAATCAATCAAATAGTTAATCTTTTTACACAAATTTAGTACTTTAGATGTAGTTAATTGTTTTTTCTAAAACTAATTTCTTTAAAATTGCAATCTTGATTATGGAAGAGAGAGTTATAGTATTACTTAGGTAAGCATTTTCGATGATATGCCTTTGGGCAACGTCTGCAAACTGCAAATTGCAAGTCATGAACCTCTTTATTTTCTCCTTGTTTACAAACACGACATTTATGAACAGGGCAAGTGAATGATTCTCCTGCAGCTATTTGACTCTGAAGTTGATTGGCTAGGGTTTCATCAGAAGGGTGGATCAATTTTGCAACACATCCAGGGTGATAAAAGTGGCCACAAGTTGCAGAAACACAAGGGAACACCTAAAAGATTGGTAGCTAGATAACATGAAGTCTTTTCATGTGGAAACAAAATCCAAGATTTAGAGAAGAACCTCAACAGTAGAAGAAGACTTATCAGAAGAACCCAACATTCCACAAACAAAGCATTGATGTTTCTTGTGTTTACAGTTGCCACAAAGAAAAGTTGGAATTGCCTGTATGTAGAATTTGAGATGAGTTGTGATTGTGCTTAAACCAGATGATAGAAATGGAAAGATAATTGGAATACAGATGTGTAAATGTTTGTACCTCATATTCAGCTGCATTGGCAAAGCCAAGAGACTCACAAGAAGTTTCTACTCCTGTATCTATGGTTGGATGGAAAGATCGCATACATTGACCTTCACAACTGACATAAGTGGAAAATTGTATGAAGTAAATGTTAATGACCTAGTCTACAAAAGGACATTCACAGATACTGAATCATGGGCAATTGGGGATCTTTCTGAATTTATTAACCCTAACTCTACACCATGGATATTAGTAATGTCTGAATTAAGTTTATGAAGGGATTATATGCATACGGGAGAACATCACCACCATTGTCGCAGTATGCACAAACAGAATCAAATAATACTTCATCTTCATCATCAGATTCATCATCATTATCCTCTAGCTCTTCATCATCAGAAACTATGAACTTGGACTTGGTTTTTGTTTGATTCTCCTTTAACTCAAAAGAAAAAGATCAAGATTAAGAAAACTTCCTTCAAAAAGGGAAATTAACAATGCACAAGAATGGAGAAAAACATTCAGAATTCAGAAATAATGGTATTCACCTCATGAAGGTATTCTCTTCTCCCAGGATTCTCAATCTCCATAAGAAACGTTTTAAGAAACTGTCAAGAAATCAGGTGTCAATACATGTGTTAATAGTTAACTATTTATCAAAACTTATCAATAAATACAATGGCTCTAAATCGGGTAGAATATAAGCCATTATATCGGATTCACTGAGCACTAATTGCAGAACAAAAGAGGAAACATACAAATGATCCGCTTTAAACCTAGTGGTTAATATAGCTTACTTAGTGAAGATCGAACCTTTGATTTTGCCAAATCCTTGTCTTTAGCCACCGCACTCTGTATTAACGGCAAGTGAGCAGAGAGATACTTCTCTACAGGTTCAATCACATCATCCGATCTGCACAAACAAACAGGGTAAATCAGCAAACACCAGCAACAAATAAATCATACCGAATCACTACTACAGAAACACATAGACCTCAATGTTTTCACCAAATGACTCGAAATCTGATCTCTACTTGCACCTGCATTCCTCTTCGCAAAATGGAGACACCGAACCACGATCAAAAAAGTCTTAATGACATCTTTGTACATATTCCTTGGTTCCTGGAGTTGTATCCATGTTTTCCCCTTGGAAAGAACGTATATTTTAGGCGGCACTATATGAGAAAGTTCCAACTTCCAAGCGATCACCTCCTTGTAGACCGGTTGAAGACCTCCGTCAGTAGTTCCGCGCAAATACACAACCGATGAGGTTCTGTTCTTGTCGATTAGGTTCTCCTGATCACTCCAATGAAGCGGTAACTGCGAAAATGAAGTCGGCGCATTACGATCGTTCACAAGTAGGTAGTTTGTGACACAAACGGGGATGATTTCGCCTTCTTCTTCAGAAGATGCCATGCAGAAACCCTAGAAATGAAGGGATTGAGAGTTCGAAATTTTCGGTATAGAAGAAGATGGATGGAAGTGGTGGGAAATAGTACCCCTGTAGTCCTGCTACACAGCTATAACGTGGTACGTGCCACACGCGGGATTTCTATTAAAGGGGATAAAATACAAAAAGAGAAATGCTGCAAAATTGGGCCATGTGGTATGTTGTGGGTTGAAAATGGAAATAAATTTCAAAGAGGCTACAAAAATGGTATACTTAAGTCTTTTGCTTTTTTAATTTTTATTAGGGTGAATTTGGTATTATTTCTTACTTAATCAAAATATTCATCCTATTTAATTTTTAAATATTATATTTATTCTTAATAAGTTTTTAAAATATTTTGTTTACAAATCTTATCTTTTAATATTAAATAATCTTTTTAAAACATTACATTTATAAGTTTATTATTTTACCCTCCCAAATGAATAATATAATCAGAATATTTTTCAAAATTTTAGCTATCATAATTTGAGCTTCTTCAATCCTTTTACATATTTTGATAAGGCATCGTGGAATCTCATTAGCATACACACAATGACTAAATCATAAAGAATCAAATGGGACGTTTGATTCGTAGAATGTTTTTTTTTTTTTTGAAAGAATAGAATCTATAGGAGAATTTGAATATCAAGGAATTAGAATTTAAATATACTATAAGCATTTTGGTTGATATGGAATGAAATTTATTTTGTGTTTGGTTTGATGATTTTAGAAATGAATTGGAAAATAAATTTTATAATATGATAGAAATACTCTTAATAATTTTTTGCAACTAATTATATTTTTTAATAAACATGACAATGTTTTATTTAAATACATAATTTTTTTAGTGAACTCTTCTACAAAATTTAAATTAAAAAACAAGTTTATCAAATAGAAATGTAGATGAAAGTAAAAAGAAACTAAACAATTTGTCAACTTGTTTTTTCTGAAATTAGTTTTTTTAGAACATAAGCATCATATTAAAAAACCAAACCTCTAACAAGGAGCTAGAGAAAAATAAAAATTAAGGCCAGATTGGACTTTGTAACCACATCGTCTAATTAATCCTAGCCTTAGTGTTCCGAAAAGAAAAGCAACGAAAAGAAAAATCCCCAATGGAATCAAAAAGTTTATCTTTTCTATTTAGTTACGAAAAGTTCAAAGCACCCATATAACCACCATGAACGACGACTCAACAATCGAGCGCTCTATTTGAGTCGTCTGTCTAGAATCCACTCAATCCACCACGTGACGAATAGAAAGGAAAAAAAAAAAGCGGAAAAGATCTAGGTGAAGCCAATGCCCAATCCGACTCCAAATCTGATCAACAATGGATTTTAAATAATTTAAGGACTTTTGTCATTTTCTCCAAGAAAACAAACATAAGTGGTAAAAAGATGGGACACAAAAAAAATTCATATAGGCAAAAAAAAGTAAAACATAGGCAAAAATCACATAGATAGTTTTTTATTTAATTTATATCATAGATAATAGGAGGATAGTGTGTAATTTAATTGGTTTGTTCGACCAAACTATATGTCAAATGGCAGTTGCTATGAATCCAGATCTATTACACTCAAAAAAGTTTGATTGAATAGTCTCTCAAACAAAAACAAAAAACATAGGAAGCAATGATGTTGAATGTTTTTCTAGTAGTCTGTTGGATTTTTTTTTTATGTTAGTCAAAGTTGAAGAAGTGTGTATGAAAGAATATTGTATATAGGAATCTTGTTTTAGATAGGGATTTCACTATGGATACTATGTAATGTTTTGGTGATGTAACGATGAAACTCTAATGGTCAAAATGTTAGGTTTAAAATATTATCCTTGTTGGTGTTTGATAGTGTGACATACCCATTTTCATGGTTAGAAAAAGATTTTTTTTAATTATGCTTATTTTAAAATAGAGTTTATTTATAACTATGGTATATGCTCCATAAAAAGTATTTCTGAATAAATGTTATTTTTCCTTAATTATTAAAACTTAGGATGTCATAAATAATACAATAAAAATAAACATAAATGTAACCATTACAAGCCTTACAACATTTAATGACCTATATTTCCTCAAATCTCTCATTAGATCTAAACATCATATACTTTCGTAGCGCTGCATGTGATACAAAGAAACTGAGTGGGTCAGGCTTGGGAGCCTGGTGAGCACATAGGATTTTCAACACACTATTATAATTAATTTGTTATAAATATATGTTTCATATCAAACAAATAACCTAATTACCCATTTCCATCATTCTCGCTTCCTAATACAAATTGTTGGGTTTTAGTTCAAAAATAGTTTCTTAAACTAGAAAAATATGGCAACAGAAGACTTTAATTTTGAAGTAACATAAACATTTTATACCCACCAAGGATCTTCTTGCAAGTTATAGAAAGATTAAAACACCAACCAAATAAGAGGTGAAGAAATAACGACCTTTGTAGTTCTTTGGGTCTTCTTGAGAGGCTTGAAAGTTAATGAAGAATGTGGAACCTTTGAGACACCAACAATGACTCAACTTGATGTAGATGCTAGTCCATAACTCTTAAACCCTTAAGCTTTAAGTTCATAACCAATATGAACTTAAAGAGGGCTTGAAGATGCAAGTGTTCTTCAAGTTTTCTAACCAAAACTATAGGGAAAGGGAGAGGGAAGAGAGGATTTGGATTTTGCATCAAGGAATGAATGAGAAAATAATCCAAGTGCAAGTTCTCTTATTTACATGCATAAACTGAAGCTATTAACAATTAGTCTTTAACACTTTAAGCAAACTTGTCCCCACTGTCCTAAGCATGTCTCACATGCATTTAAAGCATGATTAGACAAGTCATACACTTCTTCCTTTTATGGATATCTCGAAAGAAGATGAAAGAAAGTCAAAATTTTATAAACTCTTTTATAAAATATAAACACCGTCTTTCAGGAAAAAGACAAAAAGATTCAACTAGTCCAAAAGTTTGTACATAACTTATAAATCATACCATATGATATATATTAAGTTACTTGCTAATGGAAATTATTATTTCCATGAAATAAATAATTTTCAATTTTATTATAAGAGTCATGTTGAATATTTATTAAAATCAATTTCTAATAAATAATCAATTGTATTAAGTTGTTGTTAGTGTGACTCATTGGTATCATATGTTATTTAGTAATATCACTTTAATATGACATTTAAGCATACTAGACCTTTCACTTTGATAGGAAACACCAAGTAGAAAACATACCTTTGATTTCTTTATAGGGTTATTTTTTTGACGAGCTAGTTGAAAGGACTAGAGAACCCAACCTAGAGTCATCTTCTGAAATCGCACCCAATAAGCAAACCACTAGCAAATCCGAACCACCTTTGAATTTCGACCTAAAGCAGATTCATGAAAAACAAATATGTGTATCGCCACGTCGTGGCAGTTCAACATCAACGTCATGGGAACTGGGTTTCATGTGATTCAAGGTTCATGATGATTCCGGGATTTTATGGCCGAAAAGTGTATTTCACATACACAAAATCCGAATTTGGAGTCCTCTATGTATAGGGAGGTAATTTGAAACCCTAGAGATAATTATCAGATATAATTATAATTATCTAATGATTTTAAATCATTCTGAAATATTCCACATTCCTTTATTTACTATTAATTAATTAACAAAATAAGTAGGGGTGACAATCCAACGCGAACCTAACCCAATAAATAACATGTTGGGTTGGGATTTTGAACTCGTTTAATTAAATTGGTCAGCCCGTCTAACCCATTTAATTATATAGGATGGGTTAAGGTTGAAATTCTTAACATGTTTACAATCCGCCAACCAGTTTAAATTTTTTAAATATTTATTAAGTTATAATAATTTAATATTATTATTTAGTTGAACATTATATTTGATTATTTTTTATTTATATTATGGGTCAGGAACCGTTATTTAAATTCGAGTTGGTAAAAATGATAGTCGAGTTGTGTATAATTAACAAATTAAACATTTATAATGTTTTATGGTTATTAACACTTATTTGTGTTTGTGTTATGATCCTATAAAGTTATTATTGTATAATTTTCAAACATGAACACTTATTATAGCTTTTAAATTGTATGTAATTTTATTTGAAGAATTTTTTGATTTTTAAGGGTTTTTTTTTTGTGAATAATCGGGTCAACCTAGTTTAGCTTGTTTAGTAAATAGATTGCGTTGGAAAAACAATAAACATATCAACCCGATTTCAACCCATTTACAAAGAAGGTTAGGTTGGGTTGAGAATTTTTAACCCGTTTTACTTAAATAGGTTGGATTTGATAGAAATTATCAACTCATTTAATTAAACACGTTAGTCATTATCACCCCTAAAAATAAGTCCCTTAAATAAATATATTTTCAGTTAAGCTTTATTTTGTTCTTGAATACTATTATTTATAGTAATATTAGTGGGATTTGTTATGTTCACGGACAATAATCTCCATCACTAATAACATTACCAAAAAAGTGGGATCTTGCCTAATGTTACGGTGGAGTTTGCCACAACCAATCATCATCCCTAACATTGAACTTTTTTATATCATCCATTGATTTCTCAAACATATTATTGTTAGTATATTGTTAGTTGTAAATGTACACCTCCACAAATGTACCTTAAACAAATTTTGTGTTTTGAAATGGAAAATACCTTAGCCATTACATATATAATTCTCTAAAAACAAGATGAACAAACTAGTTAGTCTATTTAATAATAACATAAATTAAATTAATAATTAAAACAGCTAACACATAATAGTTGTAAATATACACCTCCACAAATGTTTTCGGCCTTAACCTATGCATATGCAAGTGAGTATATTCTATTATTACTTTCCAACCCAACCACAGTCAAGATCTAACCAGGAAAAGGACCTTTCATAAAGATCCGATCCAATCTCAAGAACTCTATCAAACCAACCTTAAACCCTACTTTCAATCGCTCAAACAAATGTATATAAGTTTGAAAGTCTTTTTTTGTAACGCTACATTTGGTTTAGAATACACATTGATCTTCAAAAAGTACATGGGTTTCTGCTTGTAACTCTAAGACATAGTCCCTAAAAAATATGTATTGGCTTTCATAATCTACATAAATAAATTTCTATGTTCTTGTTTTAGCTCTAAATACCTTCATTAGCGATGTTGGTAATCCAAATTTCTTTTGAACCTCGTCTTGTAAAACTACAATAGGACTCTAAGGGTTGGCTTCAACTTGTTAGATTATGGTGTCTACATGACATTTGTAGGAAGTGGAATGAGAAATTAACAACCTTTTTGCTTGAGGATGGTTTTATTCGGAGTAAAAATGATTTCTCTCTATATATTAAAAGTTATGATGATTTTTGTCGTGTTACTTGTATTTGTACAAGATATAGTTTTCGTTGGTAATTGTAAAAAAAAGGTAAATATATTTTAAAATAAAAAACTTTAATCAAAGATTTAGGAATTTTAAAACGCTTTTTAGGAATAGAAATGGTGGATTGTAAAAATGGTTTATGTTTATCTCAAAGGAAATATTGTTTGGAGTTGTTATTTGAATTTGTACTTTTATCTTCTAAACCCATCACAATTCCCTTAGACTAGATTGTGGCTTTTAATAGTGATGGTGAAGGTAAAGATGATTTTGTGTTTAGTAATATTACTGATTATCCAAAATTGGTTAAGAAACATATTTACTTAACAAATACTCGACTAAATATTCGTTTGCTATCCAAACTTTGAGTTAATGTATAATTTTCTTGGTATACTAAAAGTTATGCTGATTTTTTTTAGGTTACTAAGTTACTTGTATACGTAGATGATATAGTTTGCATTACTTAAAGACATGTCTAGGAAAAAGAATTTTAATTATTTTTTAACAACAAATCAAACATACTTTTAAACTACTTTTTGACCCATCTATGTTTCATATGAGACTTATTTGAACCTTCAATCTTAAAGAGAAAAGATAACACCTGATACCGCTACGAAAAAATGTAAATAAGAGAGAGAGAGAGAGATTTTCATTGTAAGTATTTGAATAGGTTATTCAAATTTAAGAAAACCGTTTAAGTGTTTATGTTTAAGGTAGTGTTTGTTTTTTTGTCTGCAGATCTGCGAGACGTCTTCTGTCTGCGCCGCGCAGACCACGCGCAGACATTAGTCTTCGCAGACTGTTTGTTTTTTTGAAGACTGCAGACCTAAAAATGTCTGCGCGCCCTCTTCTTGGCGCAGATGTGGACCAGAGTCTTCTAACATCTTCAGACATCTTCTAGCTTAAAAAAACATATATATCTTTATTTTTTTTAAGTTTTTTTTTAATTTATATTTTTTCCAACTTTATTAATGATAAACAATATGAAAAAAAAATTACAAAACTTAAAAAAAAAACATTTGACGATACAAACATGATATTTTTAACAAATTTATAAATAAAAATTTATTATAATAATAGTCGTTGAAATTGTTTATATAAATATGAAAAAAAAATCAAAATATATTCTTATATTTTTTTGCCAAAATTTTGTAAAACTTTATTTAATAGAGTATCATCAATTTCTCGAGAAAATATTTATCGTACGTTTTTAATAGATTTATTTGAAAAAATCGAAGTTTATTTCCATCTATTTATGTACAAATTCTTTGATCACTAATTATAATGTTTAGTTATAACTTTGCAATCAAAGTTGTTGGTTTTTATCAAATATGTATATGAATTAATATCATTTTTATTTTTATTTTTTATATAATAATATATAAAAGTTGATCTAGATTCGTTATATATTTATAATAAAGTCGTAAAAATATATAAAAAATTCGCTTTGAAGTTTTAAAAAATCAGTTTATTTAGATTTCAGTTTATTTTAATAGCCCGCAGATGTTAAAAAAACAAACAGTCTTCTTTTTTCAGACTGCAGACGTTTGATCCACCTCTTCTACTGCAGAGGTCTACAGATGTGGTCCGCAGACTGCAGACATTTTGCCTCAGAAAAAACAAACAGCACCTAAATCTTGATCTTAACTTTTTGTTTATTTATCTACTAAAATCGGTTAGCATATATCTTACGTTGGTGGAAATTATTGCAAGCATTTATAACCTAATAAAAAAATTAAATGATTTTTTTTTTCTAATAATCAATTATTATTTTTTACAAAAGTAAAATAGAAAAAAAAAATCCTAATTTCACCTATATCCGCACTTGATCCTTCGATTACATAGAGGAATGACAACATTTGATGCCGTTGGCTAGAAACCTTTTAAGTTTCAACCATCAATAAGATGATGATGTAAAATTATTCTGAAAACTAAATGAGAGTTTTTATTGTGTACAAAACCCGACGTCACGATACATTGATTATATGTTTATGGAACTTTTTTAGGTAATTTAAGGATAAAGATGAGATGAATAAAATAAACAAGATAAGCACAAAATGGTCATCTTTATGACTTAAATTATAAAATCCAAAGATTTAAATCCCAAAATATTCATTTCAATCCTGCAACTATCGTAACAACATTTTCACATATGGTACATTTAAAAACTTACACATACATCAACTCTTAACACTCAGTTTAGTAGTATTTAATCGTCTTAATCTCTGATCAAGTTCCGCCATTACCACCGTTTCTTGCTTTTTCCTTTGCTTAGATAAATTGGTTGTCATAAAGTTTATTTTATCAAAGGCAATCTACAAAAGGGTAATATATATGCATGAGTGAAATAGGAAGAACATGAAACTATATCGTGTTAATTTGAAATTGAACAATCAAGTATTTGCGTTTTTCTTTGTCCCTAAACAATTTTTTCTTTTGTCATATTTAGAGCAACCACAATAGAAAAGTAACAAAAAACTATATGAATGAATAAAATATCTAATAGATTTACTTATTAGATTCATAAAAAAATATTTATGTAGACAACTTGTCAAATTTACAAGCAAAGTAAAATAACTATATGGTGAAAAACTCTTACAATACTTTGTTTGAATATAACAAGTTTATTTGATCAAAAAACTCCTCAATAAGCTTCTACTTGTGGATATTCTTATACCATTACGATCGATATAGTGAATTTATAGGAAAAGATCGACAATATTGGTATAAAAAGGACCTTTTAGTATTCATTCTCAAAAATACAAATAATTGGTTTTCCATTTTAAATTTAATCCACAGTATATTATAATAACGTGTAAACTTACGGTTAACAAGTCATCGGGATCAAATAAATGATGGGTGGTATTTTGTATTATCTTAATCGCATCCCCAACGTGATATGTCACTAACAGCTCTTCTTCCTTCATCTACAATAACATAACAACACTATAATTAAACCTTCCAAAATACGTGATAATATCTTTACACGTATCAAAATGATCAAAGAATTGTCACCTTAAAAATAGCTAAAGCTACATTAAACAAAACCTTAGCCCCTTCGTAAAAGAGAACATCCCACACTCTCATTGTCGTCTGCATACATCCAAAACAGTTAGAGAAAGAGAAAGAACGTGTGAGTTTAGAATTATAAAATGACAATTTTGCCATTCTCATGAGACTATGAGTAAATGTTAACCTCTGAAGGCAGGCTTTTAGAAAACAAACAAAGAAACCACTCGGTGGCTACAAGGGAAACATCGAACCCCAATGTTTCTAAATGTGCAGACAACCTAGAAATTTTCAAAAAAAGTCGTTAAATCACAAAAAACATATGATCATATGTGATATAATCATATGACTACACGAGAATGAAAACAACCTTGGACATTTTTGTGTTAGCAAATCTTTAAACACTCTTTGTTCGACATGACATCCTGATAAATTATCTGTGTAACAATCGTTGACCAATACGTTTTCTAGAAGAACTGCTAACATCCAAAAAGCTTCTTCTTCGGTTTTCATCACAAGCAATAACATTGCTGCAACATAATTTAAACCCTTCAAGAAACAAGGAAACTATTAGTGTCCCATGCATTTACACATTAGTTGCATGTATATATGATATTGTTGCAACATAATATTGTCATTTCTATGATATTGTACGTTTTTGTCAAAATTTCCACGTAATATAATTATACTTTTTAGACCAAAAATTAGCTATATTTATTGCTTAGAGACCAAAAGTAGTCATTTTATTTGAAATACAGACAAATAACATTACAAATAACATTACAAAAACCTCAAAATTGGCCGAGAAAACATATTAGGATAAAAAATGAAAAGATCAACAATTACCAAGGACCAAAAGGTAATTTACTCCAAAAAAAAAATTAGCAATTTTGTTCCAATTTCATAATTTAAAAGAAATCATTTTTTTTTATTGTGATTAGTTATGTCACAAGAAACAAACCTGACAATAACCAACATCGGAATCACGAAAAGAGTACCCCACAAGAACCCTTCTCACGGCGGCGTGGCCCTCCGGCGTGTCCAACCACGGATGGCCGGGAAAAGTACGTGGCAGATCCTGCAAGTATACACGACAATCAAGATCACCCAAAATTGAATAATTCAATCGATTTTCGATTAAAAGAAATGAAAGAAGAAATTGAATAAAACTCACTCACATGATCGATCTGTTTGGTAGCAGGGGTAATTTTGTCCGAAACAGCTCCGGTGAGATCATTATAATAGCTATCAGGCACCGTTGATTTCTTTTTAGCAGCTCCAGATAAAGAAAACCAAACTTTGGGCCTTAAAGATGGAGGAATACCTTTTCGAATAAGCTTCTTTAATGTCATTGCATTCACTAAAACAGAAAACCTAAGGGACGATGTAAGGGCAATAGAAGATGATCCATAAGTGTGTAAATACCAATTTGCCCCTTTGTTAGCTTCCATTGCCCACCAAACTCGACCTTGTTCCCTCACCTTTTCTCTAACCTCATTCAATACATTTACGTCATCAACATTGCCTTCTACTGTAAATCCATAAAGATCTTGAAATTTTACCACAAGATTTGCCCTTCTCGCATGAATACTAGGCCTTAAAATTCTGATTTCTGGTTGGATTTCGAAGGGTAAATCCGTATTTCTTTGAATTGGGTACATCATTAAAGATGGGAATTCTTCAAAATGTGGAAGAAACCATGGATGAGTTGTAACCGATGTTCTTGATATGATGATATATCAAGAAACTGAATTCCTGGTTTCTTCAAGAAAAGAAGAGAAGAGGAAAATGGATTGATTAAAGTTGGTATTTTTGAACGTTTCTCCAAATGGGTGTTTGAGAAAACTTGAATTTGAAACCAACGAGAGACAAAAGGGCAATAATTAGATTAGATTAAATTAATATTAATAAATAGATATACAAAAAAAAAAATAATAAGCTCCACGATTTCTCCACTTGGAGTGAAATAAACAAAATCTTAAAATATTGTCGATATGGAAGGACGAAATCTTTGGATTGTATTTTGATAAAAAAAAAATTGGAAAATCGTAATTTTTGGGGGATATTTATGCCATTTAATTGATGGAGAACAAAAAGAAAAATTGATAAAAAGTAAAAACTGTAGAATAAATAAAATAATTATGACTCTAAACCATTTTTGCTCTATTTTTGTTGTTCACCCGCTCCACCCCTAGACATTGATTATTCAACATTTTATAAAACAAAAAAGGTTATAAACGGTCAACTTCAATAAAGTTAATTGTATATTCAATAGTCAAAAGTGTACTTGCAATCCACGCTAGTATATTAGGTGCAATTGCAAAATTTTGTTGGGGATGTTTTAGAGAAAGTTTTTATAGATTTTAGTTGCTTTTGATTTTTAACATTAAAAGAAAAAATCCAATCCAAATCAAAATCATCTGATGTTTTTGTTATTACACTAAGTTCGAAATCATCTGCATGTTTTTTTATCAATTCACAAAACATATTTATCTTAGTTGTTATATCTTAAAACAAAAAAATAAAAATATATAATTTCTTTTACACTAAATCGAAATCAAGTAGTGTCTCGGGACTCTCGGGTAACCTCTAAAATTTGTTTATGCTCTTTAACCTCCATAAGCACAAGTACATTCATGGTTTGTTGGTTCAGTCGTTAGTTGTTTATGCATGAGGTTGTAGGTTTAACTCTGCATCCGTATTCTTTGTTTTATTTTATCATGCTTACTCCTCGCAACTACAAGTATATGTTGAGTGATTTTTTTTGGTGTCACTACTTCATAAGTTTTTGTGTCTGACACTGATAAAGAGCCCACACGCTCGACAAACACCGCCCCACCATGGTAGCATGCCGAGGAAAGAGAAGTCCTGTAGCAACGGGTTGCCGAGGAAAGAGATTGTGCAGATGTATTCCACCAACATTTGATTGTATTTAATACAATATTTGACCCACCTCACTTAAAAGACATGTTGAGATGTAATATAACACCATTCTCTTCGGTTTTAAAAAGTTTTTTTGGTATTTATGTCTGTTTTATGCATTTCATAAAACATACAACTCACTTTTGCGAACACTAAAGTTGTAGCTTTTAAGTTTTTAACTAACATCTTTCGGCTGCCAACATTTTTGTCAAACATATCCTAGCATTTTTTTTTTCCTTGTTTTTCTTGTTTTTTAAAGATTTTTTGGTTTCTGATCACTTTCATTTCCTAGATGAATATTAAATTATGTAAACTCAGTTAGTGACTGATTTATATAAACTACGTGATTTAGTCTATTATTATCCGTTACTTAAAGTTACATTTCTATTTTTTTTTTTATTTTTTTCAACAAAATTATTAAAAAGAAACAATTTCAAACTTTACTTTTATGTATATATACAAAGTTTTGAGATGTAAAGTCCGCCGGAAAAGTGCAAAATTAGATAAATGATTTGTTTGTCTGTGGTTCAGACTTCAGACTGCAGCCGTTCCTTAGGATTCATGTTATTTGTCGTTAATGGGCCGGCCTTTTAACCAAATAAAATGCTTTTTTTTTTTTTTTTCAAATAAATGAAAATTCAAGTGTAATTTTAATTTAGAATATTGTTTTTATGATTTATTTATTTCTTTAATTTTTTAATGTTACTAGAATATATAATTTTTTTATTTTTAAGTTATCAATCACTTATTATTTATCAATTGATTTTTTTTATTTATTACATAATTATTTTTATTCTCCCATTCTGATAACATTTTTATTTTATCGTTTTTAATAATACTATATATAATAGGTTTATTATATTTGATAATTAATCTAATTTTTTATATATGCAAACTAAAAATTATTATATTCTTATAGTTTTGTAACTGTAAGTTTATATAATAACATCAAATTGAAATACGATGTGTGCTAAATATATATATATATATATATATATATATATATATATATATATATATAGAAGTAAGTTCATGCGAAAATATAAATATTCTGCGAAAACGCGAAAACAGATTTTATCTTATGAAAATTAAACACATGTACTACAAAAAAATAATTTTATTAGCAATAAATTAAAGATAGTAAGTTTACATTGGATGGTGTTATGGTAATATAGATTTAAAGACGGTTTTTATAATTATATTTTTTTCACGTCCTTCATCATTTTTAAATTCATGTTTTCATAATAAAAATGTTAAAAATCATACTTTGGTAATATGAAACAGTTTATCATCTATCATCGATTATCATCATGTATTTCAAATTTTGGATGAATTATTTTCCAAAATATAATGTTGAGGTGACATAATATCATAGGTTTTTCTTGTTTTCGCGTTTTCGCAAATTATTTGCATTTTCGCATGAACCCTCCCTATATATATATATATATATATATATATATATATATATATATATATATATATATATATATATATATATATATATATATATATATATATATATATATATATATATATATATATATATATATATATATAGAGAGAGAGAGAGAGAGAAAGAGAGAGAGAGAGGTTTTATAAAATAAAATAAAAAAATCATCATAAATGGTCTCTGTGTTTTTTTAAAATTTGAAGTTTAGTCCATGTATATATATATATATATATATATATATATATATATATATATATATATATAGAGAGAGAGAGAGAGAGAGAGAGAAAGAGAGAGAGAGAGAGGTTTTATAAAATAAAATAAAAAAATCATCATAAATGGTCTCTGTGTTTTTTTAAAATTTGAAGTTTAGTCCATGTGGTTTAAAAACATCATAGAAGGTCCTTGTGTTTTCAAAATTTTTGACAATTGGTTATTATTGCTAACTCCGTTAATTTTGTCTATTAACTGAAGGGCATTTTCGTCATTTCACTACCACATGGATTATTTATGATGTTTTATCTTATTTAAAAAAATATTAATAATATGCAAAGAGTTTCTCTCTCTCTCTCTCTCTCTCTCTATATATATAATATATATATATATATATATATATATATATATATATATATAAATGTTTGATATTGGGTGCCTCATTCCAGAAACGTGACATAGGTACTCCGGTGACCATTCCATCACCAACCATTGATTTATCAATTTCAAAAACAGCATACATGTCTCATCCCTCCATTCCAGAAACGCCATACACGACCCCCCCCCCCCCCCCCTTCCCTCCTGTCATCTCCAACCAAAGCCAATAGTCACACAACCCAAGAATCAGTTGATTTCAATCACATTCTAACAAAGCCAATACTCAAACAGAGCTGAGAATTAAAGAAGTGAACCAATAGTGAAACACAATTAAACAAAGACTAGAATCAAATTTATAGGAGGAGCTATCGATTTTAATGCCTATAAACAGACAAACCTAGAATCAAACACAGTCAAACAAAACCAAAACTTTAAGACAAAACTTCATTTTAGAAGGAAGATGAATAAAAAAAATAACCAAGAACATCTTAAAACCCTTCTCGGAGATCAAAAATCCAAAAGCAAATAAAAAATCCAATAATTCTAAAAAAACACCAGAGATGAAGATCATGTACCAATTTGTGTGTGCGTGTGGGTTTTTAAATTATTCCCTAAATGATCAAACAACCATCGAGATGATCAGGGGGTAAGGAGTCGGGTTGTAGATAGGTAAGGACGACATGCCCGATAAATCTAGAGAAAACACGAAAAAGAAATTAAAGAGGAGGAATGGTTGTGATCGAATCAAGAATCGTGAAAGAGGGTGGGAGGGCATACCTGTAACTGAATCAGAGGATTGGAGCTCAATTTCTTCACAACATCGCTATTTTCCAAATTGGTAACCCTAGGTTTATCCAATTACTCATTTGGATTGAATTTCTTAACACACATAGACATTGTATTAGCTTGATAAGAACCAGAAGGAAGATTCGAGGTGAGAACATTGACCGATTTTGAGCCTAACTTTGATTTATCCAATTTTCCTTCAAATGACGTAGAAACATTAACATCAAGATTTGGAGGGACACCCTCCAAAAAATCGAACGATAACTAGTTACAAGAATAGAGAATAAAATAGGGTTCATGATGGGATCAAAGAAAGAAAGAGACAGTAGTTGGTGGTGATCGGAGTCCTCATAGTGGCAGCGGGTGGTGGCGGCATGCAATGGCAGTTCCATTGCCTTGCTCGTTTGTTTTCTGCTGATGTGCGGTGAACGGTGATAGGTAGTTGGAGGGAGCTAGTCTGATGGAGCCACGCACGCAATAACAACAGCACATGTGAGGGTGTTTGGCTAGCTCCAATCAGCAGCAAAGAGTGAGAAATGACGGTGGTGGTAGCTGGTGATATAAGAACGAGAGAGAGAGAGAGAGAGAGAGAGACCCTCTTTGCATATATATATATATATATATATATATATATATATATATATATATAAAATAAGATAAAACATCATAAATTGTCTCTGTAGTAGTGAAATGACGAAAATACCCTTCAGCTAGCGCATAGAACTTAATGAAGTTAGCAATAATAACCAATCGTCAAAAGTTTTGAAAGCATAGGAACCATCTATGATATTTTTAAACCACAATAACTAAACTTTAGATTTTGAGAAAATACAGTGACTATTTATGATGTTTTTTCTAAAATAAATGAGGATGAATGTTTATTCTTACAAAAAAAAAAAAAAAAAAAAACCCTTATGCATTGGATTTCTTTTAAAGATGGTTTATTTTATTTATTTTGGAATAATAAATGAGCTTTAAACATGATTAACCATGGTGAATGCTCTTAGAAATACTATCCAATTCCTAATATACTTAAATATTTTAAAGATTCACAAGAAATACAAAATAAAGAAAAACTTACAAAAAATTATAATTACCTGCTTTAAGATGTATAATTTT